TTTGCCCAAAAACTCTTACCATTGACTTACCATGTACAAAAAAACTGAATACATAACCTTAATTTTACAACCTACACGTAATTAACCAGTATTAACTAACAATTAGATCAACCGAGCCAAAATTTTTGCAAAAAAACTAGGTATTTCCGCACAAGAACCAATTTTTTTTTTCAAAAAATATGATTTTTTTCTCGAAGTTTCGTTAGGTTTCAGTATAGCTTTAGATGGTTTTCTCGTTGAATCAAACCTGTAAAATAATAATCAAAACCTCTAAACCGTAGAAGCTAGCTAAGAAACGCAAGTATCGACAAAATCGAGCTCAAAAACTCGGTTGCCAAAATTTTGTTGAAACTTACCATCTTACCATCTGAAACTTCACCATCTTACCATCTGAAACCTTACCATCTTAATACATAGGAAACCTATTCCCTATCTTAATACATAGGGAAATCTATTCCCTAATGAGTTCTTATTCCCTACAATGAAATTCTTATACATAGGGAAATCTATACATGGGAAATTCGGGCGCCGAAAAAAACTTACCATCTTACCATCTGAAACCTCGTATCTTAACACATTGGGAAACCTGTTCCCTATCTTAATACATTGGGAAATATATAGCCTATGTTAATACATAGGGTGCTGACCGGATACTGTATGGTACTCTATAGCCTATGTTAATACATGGGGGTCAGCACCCACCCCCCCCCCCCCCTGATCACCTCACTCATATACTACTGACAATGACAAAATATATCGAAAAAAAAACCAATGAACCTATCAATGAGAAACGGTTTGTGCATGTTTATCAGGTATTCTGATTTAATTATAAGCCCTATCAAGTTCGTTATCTTAATATCACTCGTTAACATTCAAGTAAGGCTAAGTTGGGCAATGAATAGTTCGGCTTGTAAAAACTGGGATTCAAGAAGTAGATAGCGTGCATGATCATTTTCTGCAAAGATACCACAATTTACTTTCCCAATTATTTTGTCTATTTATTTTAGACATGAGCAAACTTTAGAAAAACGCTTAACTGAAAGATAAGCGAAGTAAAATTCCTTCGGAAAGCATTATGCTTGTTTCTTATGGTACGATATGTCGCAAGCAACAAAATTGATTTTAAAACTTATTTAACTCAGCTGAAAATAAATATTCTTGTCTTTTAAAACCCAAAAATACTTGGCATGCTCTTTTGCGGAAATTGTTCTCTGTAAATACTACTTTCTTAACTACTCGCCATCTGTTCTATCAACAGTTAGGAAAAAGATATTCAAATAGTCAGGAACTTTCTCTAGTGTTTCTAGCATCGACGTTCATCAGACAAAAATTGATCTTTCTGTTCATAGATTCTTTTTCATGAGCAAATTACATTAAAATCACTTTTTATTGATTTTTTCAAATAATAAGTTAACAAAGAACGACAGCCAATGGTCCCAAAACAGATTTTGTGGCACGCAATGATTGAGTATTTCCCAGTCAGAATAATAATTTTTTTAAGTTTCACACACTGTTTTCAGCCTCAAAAAGCATTCATTTTGCAATATTCCAAAAAAAATTGTTATGGAAATGAAAACTTTGGCAAGATCTAAAAAATAACACTATTTTTTTCATTGATCCATGCTTTTCGAATTCTTTTCGGTAAGAGAGATAAGCTTAAGTGCAAGTGGTGGAAGCTTAATAATGAATTTAGTTTGAAATGTACCATGAAATGTTTTGAAGACAAGCGTTCGAAAATTTTTGATAACTTGTTTGTCACACAAACTGCCTTGTTATTTGATCAAGCTATTTAAATAAATTTTTGAAACAGGTGATATCTAGCAAGCTTACCTTGTTGAAGGCAGCAAAATTGTATTCCCATAGGCCCTCGAGATTTATTTGAAAAAACATGATTTATCAAGTCTGATAGCCAGATAACATCATTTGTGTTCTTTTTGTCAATTTCCAAAACTAATTCGCTAATAATTACTGAATTCTGATTACTGTTTTTCATTAGTTTTCTTTATAAGATTAAATTAATTTCTATTACTGGAAAACTGATAAACTTTTCAATTTGATAGAAAAAATTTTGTCTTCATACTGAAACTTGTAGAGCCCCTCAGTGCACCAAAAAATCATGCCTTTGTGATTGTCAGAATTCAAAGAAACTTGGAATGGTGAAGAAATCAAAAATTGTGAAGAGATTTGTTACTGATACCTTGCTTCGTAACATCACGCGTTTAGCTTTAAAAGCACGTAAAAAAAATTTAAAAACTTGAAAGGTGGGGGAAGATAAAAAGAGCCAATTGTACTTTTTTGCTTTCAGTTTAGGAAAGTATATGAGTCAGATTTTTCGGAAGTTTCTTAGGAAGTTTCTTTCAGAATAATCGGAAGTTTCTTATGAGTCTGAAGTTTATAAACCCTCATTTCCGGAACCACCTCAATTATTTGTTTTACAATACACAAGAAGACAAACATTTGCAATCGCTCAAAATCAATTGTAGCTAGATCAAGAGAAATTTAAGTAATTGCGAATAAAGCAGTTTCAAATTTGTTTTGCATTTTGATGAATCATTTACTTGCATTTTTCTAGAAAACCGGGGCTTCCCATTTTAGTCTCTCAGCAAGTCCCCCATTATGGTAAAATGAGGACATAGAGGTGCATCAATTTTTTGTTACTGGATAAGGTGGCTCTATTAAGAAAACTCCCAAAAAAACCGAACAACAAACTTTAACAGACGATTTAAAATAGAATCGTTTTGCAGTTTTTAAACCTCACGCAATAACTAAAGTTTGAAAGTGATTTCATGACAAAATCTCTTACAATTGTAGTTTTTTTAGCTACACTTTATCTTTAGATATTAAAAATTATTTCTATTTGTACATAGTGATTCAAATAAATAAAGAGATTGCTGAACTGAGAGCTCATTAGAGGGTTTTATTTCTGTTTTTTGTTTTCAATCAAAACTTAGGTTATTTTTCTATAATGAAGGAGTGCCTATTATAGCAGTAAAACTGAATAACTTCAAAAATCGAGAAAAGGTAAGAATTATGAAAAAACTTGATAAACCCTTTAAAAATAAGGCACTGCAGACCGATTGTTCAAACCGACCTGCTATGGTACAGTTTACAGTCAAACACCTTTGAAACAGAGTCGGAGCGTTGCTTCGCAAACACTAGCGAGAACACGCCAAAATGCAGCTCTATAAAAAGCAATAAGAAAAACTAGAAATAAGCCTCGAATTAGTAAATAATTTGCAAATTTTTGCAAATAATAATTTGGAATATGACAAACTGAAGACGTCCACGCTAACTATGCATGATACAAATCGAAAAGCATAAAACCAAATTATGTATAAATTAAGCATTTCAAAAAACTGCGAGATATTGAGTTAGAAAATTTCTGAAATCGAGTTTTCATTATTTTTGTTGTTTGAAACAAATAACTTTTTTCGGTTCATCGAAAAAACCGAAAATGTCGAAAAACTAGATCTATCATAATGAACAAGGCTAATTTTGAAACAAAAACAGGCAGAGAGAATAGAATGAGAAAGTAGCATCAAAAGATAATTTATTGTTATGTTGTTAGAAACAAATAGCTTTTTTCGGTTCATCGAAAAAATAGAAAATGTCGAAAAAAGTAGATCTATCATAATGAATAAGGCTAGTTTTGAAACAAAACATGCAGAGAGAAAGAAATGTGAAATTAGCATCAGAAGGTAACTTACCAAGCAGTAAGAAATACCTTGGCAGAAACCTTTTAAGACGAAAAAAAATCAACAAGATTTAAGATTTATGAAAAGTCCCCCTCGCCCTCAAAACACTTAAAAAACATTATTTGCTCGTCAAATGAAACAATATGAGACAACTAAGCCGATATAATATAGCACGAGACATAAGATGCCCAAAAAACGAAACAAAAGAACACAGCCAATCGAAGATTGGAAAAGAGTATTGAACGCAAGTATACATTAAAAAAACACTGATTTTGTTGAAAAAAGCTCACTTTCGAATTTCAAAGAAAAAATAGATGCCCTTTAATCTCTTTGAATTTCTAGAACAATTTATGATTGACGCTTTTTTTTATAACATTAAGCCAATTTGAAAAACCTGGATCAACACATACCTGAAAGCATTCATAAATGCATCAATATGTATGAATGCAGATCTGTAGTTATTAGAGCATTTTAAGACTTCTCTGGAAAAAAATATATATAGCAAGACCCATATAAGAGTCTTCACTACGTTCATTACTCTTAAAAATTGACAAAAAGTTAGACCAATAAGAAGTTATCAAGCCCCCCTCGCACACAGACACACAAAAAAATTTCGCTCGTCGAAGGACGCAATATGAGGCCGATATAATATAGTCCGAAAACTATCAAGCCGAAAAAGCAAAAAAATGCGATAAAAAAATAATTGTCATGAAAAATTTGAATTATAATTTCTATTAAGATGTTTAGCATTATATTCAATCGACAGAGAAGCATAAAAATATGTTTCCATTGAAACAACTCAAAATTAGGTCACTAAGCCGATAAAAAAGGCCGAAATCATTTGGGCAGAATAAAGTTTTTAATCGATAAAAAAAAGAACAAAAAATGGAAATATATACAAGATTTATAAAAAAAATTACAACGAGGTAAATCAGAATACTAAAAGCAACTATTTTGTTTAAAAAATTAATAATTCAAATGAGCAATTTAGTTGGATGGTAAAAACAAAGCGGAAACTAAGCCGACAAAAAGTAAAACCGAAAGCTACGAAGTCGATAATTCAAAAATACCAAAGAAATTGCATTTAAAAAATTTGGACTGCGAATTTATTGGAGTAAAACTAACCAGGAAGCACAGTGAGAGTAATGGACCAATGAGCGCAAATATACGACCCCAATACTGCATGCATGTCGTGTACTGCATGCATGCTGGAATCTGTGGACAAAGTTGTTTACGGGAAAAGTCTAGTACCCGATTGCAATACTCTTAAGCACTTCGTACATATCAATTCTTCACAAGACTTACAATAATCAAGGCATAACTGTTTGTGTTCGCTACAAATAGCTGGCTCCAGATTTCGGTTATCCACAATTTGATGACCTTTTTTGACATGAATGACAGTTATACACGTATCGCAGAAGATCTCAGGAGGCTTGCTTGTCCCATCTGTCAAATTACACTGTAAACACTTAAAAGAACACTCAACGTTCAGCGGTTCTTCGCAGTGCGAGCAATTGCTTTCACAAATATCTTCACAAGTACCGCCAGTTGCCATTATAGGATGTACATTCCGGTCATCTGAAACGATTTTAAATAGTTTAAATCTGAGAAATTCCGCGGGTGAGTTTGACCAGCTGACCACCCAAAGGTACTATTACACGACATTCATTTTTTGCGGACATGTTTTTCAAAATTTTTCTTCCGGTTTTTCAAAAACTTGCCCTCGATGCAGAAAATTTGGTCGAAATGGGGTTTTGATCGTGTCGGCAAAAAGATCGATAAAAATGTTCAAAAAGTGAATGTCCACCCCACTCGAGAAAATAATAGATCCGCCCCTGAGACATGGCCAAATAAATTATACCCAAACGGCATAACGAAAATTTCTCATGTCTAAGTAAACATTACAACACAGATGCAAAGCAGAGCTTCGCATCACTTGCGATAAAACACAAGCTGCATGAAAAACTAGCAGACAGAACGTGAGTCGAAAGTCGAAAAAAATTTTTTTCAAAAAAACGAGAAAAACTAGATCTACCAAAATTTTTGACTCTTGTCTTGAATATAGTTCTTATAAAAAAAACATGACATAAAAGAAAATCAAAATTTACATTTGCAAAGAAACAAAGCCGACAATTTTTGAGTAGACATCTGTTCAGCTAAAAAAAAATAATTTCAAAAAAAACCTTAAAACTTCCAAAAAAATATTGGGAAATTATCCCTCTAACTACTCACACGCATAGTAAACTTGTTTCGCTTATCAAAAAGCAATATTATGCCACTAAGCCGGTTGAGTATAAACCAAAAAAAAATCAAAATCCTAAAAAATACTAAAAAACGCTTGATAAAATTAAAAATAACAAATCAAGCAAAATTGCGAAAAAATCTTGTAACTGAATTAACTCTACCAATGGTGCTTTGAAAATGGCTTTCAGGGATTTACAAGAGAACTGAACTTTCAAAAAGAGTCTGTGTTACGTGAACTGAGCCGACAAAAATAAGCAGACGGACGATAGTCCGAAAATGCTGAAAAAATCTAATTTGAAAAAAAAACAGAACCCCGTCCGGATTCGAACCTCAAGGATTTGCCGTCTTAAGCATGTGTGATACTTCTACACCAGATGGGCCGAATGGTTGATTCGACTTTCTACAAATCTAAAACAGTTTTCCTGCCAAAAATGGGGGCGTTGATTCTTGCGCAAAGAAAAGTCACACAACGTGTTCCTTCGCTTGAACCTCAATCTCAGATTTGGCAGGATAGTTTTCGAATAAAAAAAATCAATTAAATGGGTCAAGATTCGCCTATTAAAAATTTCGAAAGGAGAGCAAGTCAATATGCAGGCACACAGGCAAGCAGTTGTTTTTTTTTATTGGTACCACTTTATAAAAAAAACCGGTAGAGTAATTCTGAAAAAATGAAAAAAAAAAAAACTTCGAAAGTGTCTCAGATAAAAAAAAATCATGTTAAAAAAGAAAAACTTAACTCACTACACTTCCAGGAATCCTGATGATTTGCAGGAATTTGAAGATTTGATTTTTTGGTGATGATTATATTATGCCAAAACAGCTTTTCTCATGTTTTTATCAGGCTCGGATCTAGAAATTCCTGGAGGCTTGGATTATGATACTTTCTTTATAGCCGCTAAAAAAAGCCAGCAGACATATGGAAAAAAGTCTAAGAACGCAAAGAAACAAAAAAAAAATTTTTTTGAAAAAAAAAACAAATTTCGAGATTTAAAATAAAATTTGCCCTTTTAGCTTTTTGAATTTCGAACAACATCATGCTTGGCATCTTGTTGATAAAACTAACTCAATTTAGAGACAACTAGATTAGAAGAAAGTTTATAATCGGCTGGGAAACCTTATGATTTAAAATCCACTTTCGAAACTAGAAATCGATCACGTTTTTAGTACCTTTACATTTTGCTTTTCAGAAGTGGTATTTTTTTTACTGTTAACAAAGGAAATGAACTGAATTTCAAAAAGAATCAGAAGTAAAACAGCAAAACAAAATCAAATTTGAGCAAGAATAAATTTGTAAGAATTTGCTTGAAGAAAAATTTTAAAATCATCAATACCTATATCAGAATGTTCATTACGTTTAAAAATAGTTGCAGAAAAAAACCGCAATTCTTCGTTACCGAGCAAGGAAGATTATATTATGGCCAACAGACACTTGGAAAAGAGTCATGAATGCAAGGAAACAGAACGAGCTTGACTCTTTTTTCAATTTCAAAATTCAAAATTTTTGAATTTTAAAGAAAAAACAAATGCCTTTAAAGCTTTATGAATTTCTAGATTAATTTATGACTAACTCTTTTGTGACAAAACCAACCCAATATGAGAGAAACAATTGGATCATTAAGCAAAATTTTTTTTCGCTGGGAAATTCGATATTTGAACTCGACTTTCGAAACTAGAAGTCGGTCACGTTTTACGTGACTTTTCCATTTTTGCTGTTCGATAGTGGAGTTTGCCTTCATTTTAACAAAGGAAATGCACTGAACTTAAAAAAAAACAAATCCAAACCGCGAATTTTGATCCTCAATAAACTTTAAGATTTTCTGAAAAAAAAAATCATCGCGACATAAAAAAAGTCTGAACTACGTTTATCGGCTCTTAAAAAAAACTTATAGGGGCAAGTATCCAGAAAAAATGATTTATTTGCTAGGGAAGGACCAACATAGAAGCTGTTCGGCTCTTTGCCGACAACCGCTGTTTAGCACCTGGCTAACTGCATGCAATTTTAAACTTGAAAACCTTTTTTACAAAAATTAGAAAGGCAATTTTATTACACAGCGTAATAAACCTGATCTAAAAGGAAAAAAATCGATCAATCTACAATTTTTTATTACGCTGAGAAATGTAAGAAATGAAAACTAATTCGTAACTTAAATTCAACCACATTTCAAAAAATTTCCAAAAAAAATTCAAAGTTTCAAACTTCGACTTGTTTGGAGGCCATAACTTTTTCTTCAGCAAAATGAGCATAGCCAAATAAAAACTAGGCTTTCAACAACCTGTTGTTTTGATCAAACCTATGATATCAGATTTGGCAGGATGGTTAGCGAGAAAGGTCCAAAAAACGGTCAACAAACCAAAATTTTGACATTTGCGAGAATCATAGCTTTCTGAGTGAAAAAATTTGGCGTAGCCGCTTTTGAAAAAGATATTCACTCAAGCGGTTAATATTCACTCAAGCGGTTAGAAAACTTGAGCATAGAACTCAGAGAACAAGCATCGAATCACAACATCTGTACAACAGATCAATTGCGAAGCAATTGTTACTGTTAATTCGATTGAACCCAAAATCTCAGATTTGAGAAACTTTGTTATAAAAAGGTCAAAATATCAAAATTTTGACCATTTCGAGGTCCAAATTTTTTGGTGTCCAAACATTCGAGAGTAGCCGCGAAAGCAAATGAGCTTCTTACATCTCGTTCTTCGAATTGAATCCAAAATCTCATATGCCAGGGTATTTTTCGATAATTTTCAAAATAATTAACACAAAAAGTCATAAAATCAAAAAATTGACTTTTCCGAGGGCGATAACTTTTTGCGTAAAAAACTTTGTTGAGTGGCCACTTATGTAGGGGAGCTTCTCACTACCTTTCAAATCCATTAAACCAACAATATCAGATTAAAGAGGTTAATTTTCGAGATAAATCAAAATGGTCAAAAACCAAAATTTGACTATTCCGAGGGCCATTATTCTATATGAAAGAAATTTGGGCGCAACCGCTCAGGCAGGGAGCTGTTTAAAAGCATTCTTATCATTAAAATCAAAAACTCAGATTTGAGACGGGCAATTTTCGAGAACACAAAAAAAATCAATATTAAGGGTCAAATATTCCCCCACAGACTTTTCGAAGACTGTAGACAGAGGGGTCAGTAAAAAGAGACTTTATGGAAGTATATAGTCACACAGCGGAGTATGCGATCTTTCAATTGATACCTTTTTTTGAAAATCAGTAAATTTCTGAGAAACACTAAAATTTCCAATAAATTTGGAAATAATTTCCCAGAATGAGAAAAGAAGAAATTTCAATAAACCGATTGTTAAGCAAACAACCAACTTGAAATGGGCGGAAGGGAAGATGATGATTGTGCTTTCTTTGAAACGACCCATAATTAGGTCAAAAGCCGATAAAAAATAGACCAAAATGATTTGGCGAAACAAAAAAAAACAAAGAAAAACCATATGCCTGAGTAAATCAAACAATAAAAGAAACATTGAAGAAAAATGAACGCAGCAAAAAAAACTGATTCCAAGATGTGACAACTAAACCGAAAACAGACAAAAAAATTGGCCGAACCCAAGACCTTTGCTGCCCAGGCACATAAGGTACCTCCAGGCTCCAAGTTGACGGGAACGCATTGATGTTTGTATTCTTCATGAACCAAGATACAAGTGATTCAAGTGAGTCTGTTAAACAAGTTATTAACCCAAAAAAAGTCTATATTTCGGTTTGATAGCGCTTGCGTAAACAATTCTGAAAACAAATATCAATTATTTAAACTAACAATTTATAAACATTAATCAGCACTCAAACTTTTATTGGTGCACATCAACTATCCAATCTTCTTTCACAATTGAGACGCCTCTCATGTAGGTTTTTGTGGTCTGTACCAGCTCATTGTAGATCACAGCCGACGGGAGCTTCTTATGCAAAACAGATGAGGGGTGGATATCCACTTGCACGTGGCCAGCACTGGTGTAGTACTTCTTCTCGCCTCCCAGGAGCGCGAGGCGTTGTCTGAAGGCTTTGTAAAGACACAGTCTGACTTTCTCGAAGCCAGATCCACTGCTCGTTAGTTTCCAACCCAAAGACAGACAAATCTGAACAAAAAAGCCATTAACTAAGATTCAAAAGCAGTTTAAATTTATCAGCTACTTCTTCACTTGACATGTTTCCATTTATAGCGAATGCGGATGAATTAGAATTTTAAACTCTAAACGTATTTACTTTTTATTCAATTAGATCAGAAGCAACAAAAAACTAGCCATAATCTTGAGATTTTTGCAGTTCTTTCCAAAAATTTGTATTTTTTCCCAAAAACTTGAATTTTTTGCAATTTTTTCCAAAAAGTTGACTTTTTTCGAAGTTTCAGTAGGTTTTGGTATAAATTCAGGTAGATAGAAAGTAAGATTATCGAATAAATTAGATCGAATTACAATAAAACTTAGTGTTTTAAAGTTTTTATAAAAAATTTTTAATTTTTCTGACAAAAAACTCCAAGTTTTTGCCCAAAAACTCTTACCATTGACTTACCATGTACAAGAAAACTGAATACATAACCTTAATTTTACAACCTACACGTAATTAACCAGTATTAACTAACAATTAGATCAACCGAGCCAAAATTTTTGCAAAAAAAAACTAGGTATTTCCACACAAGAACCAATTTTTTTTTCAAAAAATATGATTTTTTTCTCGAAGTTTCGTTAGGTTTCAGTATAGCTTTAGATGGTTTTCTCGTTGAATCAAACCTGTAAAATAATAATCAAAACATCTAAACCGTAGAAGCTAGCTAAGAAACGCAAGTATCGACAAAATCGAGCTCAAAAACTCGGTTGCCAAAATTTTGCTGAAACTTACCATCTTACCATCTGAAACTTCACCATCTTACCATCTGAAACCTTACCATCTTAATACATAGGAAACCTATTCCCTATCTTAATACATAGGGAAATCTATTCCCTAATGAGTTCTTATTCCCTACAATGAAATTCTTATACATAGGGAAATCTATACATGGGAAATTCGGGCGCCGAAAAAAACTTACCATCTGAAACCTCGTATCTTAACACATTGGGAAACCTGTTCCCTATCTTAATACATTGGGAAATATATAGCCTATGTTAATACATAGGGTGCTGACCGGATACTGTATGGTACTCTATAGCCTATGTTAATACATGGGGGTCAGCACCCACCCCCCCCCCCCCCCCCCTGATCACCTCACTCATATACTACTGACAATGACAAAATATATCGAAAAAAAAACCAATGAACCTATCAATGAGAACCAGTTTGTGCATGTTTATCAGGTATTCTGATTTAATTATAAGCCCTATCAAGTTCGTTATCTTAATATCACTCGTTAACATTCAAGTAAGGCTAAGTTGGGCAATGAATAGTTCGGCTTGTAAAAACTGGGATTCAAGAAGTAGATAGCGTGCATGATCATTTTCTGCAAAGATACCACAATTTACTTTCCCAATTATTTTGTCTATTTATTTTAGACATGAGCAAACTTTAGAAAAACGCCTAACTGAAAGATAAGCGAAGTAAAATTCCTTCGGAAAGCATTATGCTTGTTTCTTATGGTACGATATGTCGCAAGCAACAAAATTGATTTTAAAACTTATTTAACTCAGCTGAAAATAAATATTCTTGTCTTTTAAAACCCAAAAATACTTGGCATCCTCTTTTGCGGAAATTGTTCTCTGTAAATACTACTTTCTTAACTACTCGCCATCTGTTCTATCAACAGTTAGGAAAAAGATATTCAAATAGTCAGGAACTTTCTCTAGTGTTTCTAGCATCGACGTTCATAAGACAAAAATTGATCTTTCTGTTCATAGATTCTTTTTCATGAGCAAATTACACTAAAATCACTTTTTATTGATTTTTTCAAATAATAAGTTAACAAAGAACGACAGCCAATGGTCCCAAAACAGATTTTGTGGCACGCAATGATTGAGTATTTCCCAGTCAGAACAATAATTTTTTTAAGTTTCACACACTGTTTTCAGCCTCAAAAAGTATCCTTCAGATTTGATGCATTATTGCTTAATGCATTCATTTTGCAATATTCCAAAAAAAATTATTATGGAAATGAAAACTTTGGCAAGATCTAAAAAATAACACTATTTTTTTCATTGATCCATGCTTTTCGAATTCTTTTCGGTAAGAGTGATAAGCTTAAGTGCAAGTGGTGGAAGCTTAATAATGAATTTAGTTTGAAATGTACCATGAAATGTTTTGAAGACAAGCGTTGGAAAATTTTTGATAACTTGTTTGTCACACAAACTGCCTTGTTATTTGATCAAGCTATTTAAATAAATTTTTGAAACAGGTGATATCTAGCAAGCTTACCTTGTTGAAGGCAGCAAAATTGTATTCCCATAGCCCCTCGAGATTTATTTGAAAAAACATGATTTATCAAGTCTGATAGCCAGATAACATCATTTGTGTTCTTTTTGTCATTTTCCAAAACTAATTCGCTAATAATTACTGAATTCTGATTACTGTTTTTCATTAGTTTTCTTTATAAGATTAAATTAATTTTTATTACTGGAAAACTGATAAACTTTTCAATTTGATAGAAAAAATTTTGTCTTCATACTGAAACTTGTAGAGCCCCTCAGTGCACCAAAAAATTATGCCTTTGTGATTGTCAGAATTCAAAGAAACTTGGAATGGTGAAGAAATCAAAAATTGTGAAGAGATTTGTTACTGATACCTTGCTTCGTAACATCACGCGTTTAGCTTTAATAGCACGTAAAAAAATTTAAAAAACTTGAAAGGTGGGGGAAGATAAAAAGAGCCAATTGTACTTTTTTGCTTTCAGTTTAGGAAAGTATATGAGTCAGATTTTTCGGAAGTTTCTTAGGAAGTTTCTTTCAGAATAATCGGAAGTTTCTTATGAGTCTGAAGTTTATAAACCCTCATTTCCGGAACCACCTCAATTATTTGTTTTACAATACACAAGAAGACAAACATTTGCAATCGCTCAAAATCAATTGTAGCTAGATCAAGAGAAATTTAAGTAATTGCGAATAAAGCAGTTTCAAATTTGTTTTGCATTTTGATGAATCATTTACTTGCATTTTACTAGAAAACCGGGGCTTCCCATTTTAGTCTCTCAGCAAGTCCCCCATTATGGTAAAATGAGGACATAGAGGGGCATCAATTTTTTGTTACTGGATAAGGTGGCTCTATTAAGAAAACTCCCAAAAAAAACCGAACAACAAACTTTAACAGACGATTTAAAATAGAATCGTTTTGCAGTTTTTAAACCTCACGCAATAACTAAAGTTTGAAAGTGATTTCATGACAAAATCTCTTACAATTGTAGTTTTTTTAGCTACACTTTATCTTTAGATATTAAAAATTATTTCTATTTGTACATAGTGATTCAAATAAATAAAGAGATTGCTGAACTGAGAGCTCATTAGAGGGTTTTATTTCTGTTTTTTGTTTTCAATCAAAACTTAGGTTATTTTTCTATAATGAAGGAGTGCCTATTATAGCAGTAAAACTGAATAACTTCAAAAATCGAGAAAAGGTAAGAATTATGAAAAAACTTGATAAACCCTTTAAAAATAAGGCACTGCAGACCGATTGTTCAAACCGACCTGCTATGGTACAGTTTACAGTCAAACACCTTTGAAACAGAGTCGAAGCGTTGCTTCGCAAACACTAGCGAGAACACGCCAAAATGCAGCTCTATAAAAAGCAATAAGAAAAACTAGAAATAAGCCTCGAATTAGTAAATAATTTGCAAATTTTTGCAAATAATAATTTGGAATATGACAAACTGAAGACGTCCACGCTAACTATGCATGATACAAATCGAAAAGCATAAAACCAAATTATGTATAAATTAAGCATTTCAAAAAACTGCGAGATATTGAGTTAGAAAATTTCTGAAATCGAGTTTTCATTATTTTTGTTGTTTGAAACAAATAACTTTTTTCGGTTCATCGAAAAAACCGAAAATGTCGAAAAACTAGATCTATCATAATGAACAAGGCTAATTTTGAAACAAAAACAGGCAGAGAGAATAGAATGAGAAAGTAGCATCAAAAGATAATTTATTGTTATGTTGTTAGAAACAAATAGCTTTTTTCGGTTCATCGAAAAAATAGAAAATGTCGAAAAAAGTAGATCTATCATAATGAATAAGGCTAGTTTTGAAACAAAACATGCAGAGAGAAAGAAATGTGAAATTAGCATCAGAAGGTAACTTACCAAGCAGTAAGAAATACCTTGGCAGAAACCTTTTAAGACGAAAAAAAATCAACAAGATTTAAGATTTATGAAAAGTCCCCCTCGCCCTCAAAACACTTAAAAAACATTATTTGCTCGTCAAATGAAACAATATGAGACAACTAAGCCGATATAATATAGCACGAGACATAAGATGCCCAAAAAACGAAACAAAAGAACACAGCCAATCGAAGATTGGAAAAGAGTATTGAACGCAAGTATACATTAAAAAAACACTGGTTTTGCTGAAAAAAGCTCACTTTCGAATTTCAAAGAAAAAATAGATGCCCTTTAATCTCTTTGAATTTCTAGAACAATTTATGATTGACGCTTTTTTTTTATAACATTAAGCCAATTTGAAAAACCTGGATCAACACATACCTGAAAGCATTCATAAATGCATCAATATGTATGAATGCAGATCTGTAGTTATTAGAGCATTTTAAGACTTCTCTGGAAAAAAAAATATATAGCAAGACCCATATAAGAGTCTTCACTACGTTAATTACTCTTAAAAATTGACAAAAAGTTAGACCAATAAGAAGTTATCAAGCCCCCCTCGCACACAGACACACAAAAAAATTTCGCTCGTCGAAGGACGCAATATGAGGCCGATATAATATAGTCCGAAAACTATCAAGTTGAAAAAGCAAAAAAATGCGATAAAAAAATAATTGTCATGAAAAATTTGAATTATAATTTCTATTAAGATGTTTAGCATTATATTCAATCGACAGAGAAGCATAAAAATATGTTTCCATTGAAACAACTCAAAATTAGGTCACTAAGCCGATAAAAAAGGCCGAAATCATTTGGGCAGAATAAAGTTTTTAATCGATAAAAAAAGAACAAAAAATGGAAATATATACAAGATTTATAAAAAAAATTACAACGAGGTAAATCAGAATACTAAAAGCAACTATTTTGTTTAAAAAATTAATAATTCAAATGAGCAATTTAGTTGGATGGTAAAAACAAAGCGGAAACTAAGCCGACAAAAAGTAAAACCGAAAGCTACGAAGTCGATAATTCAAAAATACCAAAGAAATTGCATTTAAAAAATTTGGACTGCGAATTTATTGGAGTAAAACTAACCAGGAAGCACAGTGAGAGTAATGGACCAATGAGCGCAAATATACGACCCCAATACTGCATGCATGTCGTGTACTGCATGCATGCTGGAATCTGTGGACAAAGTTGTTTACGGGAAAAGTCTAGTACCCGATTGCAATACTCTTGCTTATCGCAGGGGTAAGCATTACAATTTTAATTCTACAGATAAGTGAAAGATTTTCATATTTAACTTTTGATTGAAACATTGGCTGAAAATAATCAAAATAAAGATCTATTTTTTCAGATCGAATTACAATGCACAAATTTTCATTTTACAAATATGCTTTGAGGTATGCGAGATGTGGAAAAGCATATTATGCACCATTTCAATGTTAGCGTTGCATTAGTAGAAACAAATTTTTGCTCCCTTTTTCTCCATTTTCTTCACTAGCGATATGTCTTATAACAAAACGAGGGTACTCAACAGGCATTTCATAAACGTTCCAATTGATTCTTTTGCAGTATGACCATCTCTTTTTTGGTGGTCTTCGAAGATAAACTGAAGATGATTTCGATTCAGACGAGTAAGTTACTAAAGCAAGCTCCCTTCTTATGGTGTAGAATGTCGATGTACAGTCAATACTTTCAGCGTATTCATGATTCTGTTTCTCCCAAATTTGCATATCTCCATCAAACGTCACAATAGTTTGAGCATCTCGATCGTAAAAGCAAACGTAATTGACAGATGTTACGGATGTGTTAAATGGCTTGCTGTTGAGTGTAGCTAGCGTGGATCCGTTTTGAAGCGAACGCCCATCCCATCTACGAATTTGTTTGAGCCCACCGTCCCAGCAAAGCCATTGAACTGTACTGTCTCTGCTTTTATTTACATAGGGTGCCAATACTTCTAATTCAGACGGATAACTTATCTGCCTAAAAACTGGATCATATACTGAGATTGTCAGCGCTCGTTTCGATCCATTGATTATGTTGGAGAAAACAATTATTGTCATCCCATCAATCCAATACACATTTTCGACCGATTCTTGCTCAAACCTTTGGGATGCGAGAGTCTTTCTTGCTTCATTTTTTCCAAAATCGATTGTTCGATACGCAACAATTTCATCTCTCTGCTCGATTTCAAAACATTTATCAAAAAAAATTCCAACGACAAATTTAGAGTTCGCACTTCGGGTAAAGTTAATATTTTCGTCTGAAAACAATTCGTCTTTCGGTTTTTGAGGACTCTCAGAATCTTTGTTTTCACTGAACAAACTTGACAATTTTATGGCAGATATTATTTGAAGGATCAAATCCTGACTTAGTGTTTCAAAGTCTTTGAGCTCTTCGAATTTCGAATGGGTCAATTGAAGCCCATCAATGTTTCCATCAGTTTCTCTCAGGGCATCTATGTTTGTCTTCACAATGGGAAATTGACTAATCATTGCTCCGGTTGATACGCCAAGCAAACATCTCAGATCAGTTTGGGTCTTGCCGATTGTTTCCACGCGTTCTTTTGATTTATTTTCAATCTCCTTAAACGCATTCAATTTCGCTCTTATTTTTTCGGTAATGCTTTTTTTCGCTTGATCCAACACCTCTTCAATATTTTGAATCAGCGCACTAGCATCTGTTTCATAATTTTCGACAACAACCAAAATTGATTCGGCAGTTTTGATTGCGTCCTTTTCATTTTTCTCCCATTCCGACAGCAGTTCAAACACTTCTCGTCTAACTTCGGAGCCCTTTTCAGTCAGCGGAACTGAATCGTGCTTTCTATGCAGTCTTAAGCACTTCGTACATATCAACGCTTCACAAGACTTACAATAGTCCAGGCATAACTGTTTGTGTTCGCTACAAATAGCTGGCTCCAGATTTCGGTTATCCACAATTTGATGACCTTTCTTGACATGAATGACAGTTATACACGTATCGCAGAAGATCTCAGGAGGCTTGCTTGTCCCATCTGTCAAATTACACTGTAAACACTTAAAAGAACACTCAACGTTCAGCGGTTCCTCGCAGTGCGAGCAATTGCTTTGACAAATATCTTCACAAGTACCGCCAGTTGCCATTATATGGTGTACATTCCGATCATCTGAAACGATTTTAAATAGTTTAAATCTGAGAAATTCCGCGGGTGAATTTGACCACCTGACCACCCAAAGGGTCCCCATTCGGTACTATTACACGACATTCATTTTTTTGCTGACATGATTTTCAAAATTTTTCTTCCGGTTTTTCATAAACTTGCCCAGAAAAATTTTCAAAAACTTGCAGTGCAGAAAAATTTGGTCGAAATGGGGCTTTGATCGTGTCGGCAAAAATATCGATAAAAATGTTCAAAAAGTGAATGTCCACCCCACACGAGAAAATATTAGATCCGCCCCTCAGACATGGCCAAATAAATTATACCCAAACAGCATAACCAAAATTTCTCATGTCTAAGAAAACATTACAACACAGATGCAAAGCAGAGCTGCTTTGCATCACTTGCGATAAAACACAAGCAGCATGACAAACTAGCAGACAGAACGTGAGTCGAAAGTCGAAAAAAAAAAACGTTTTCAAAGTCGAGAAAAACTAGATCTACCAAAATTTTAAATTCTTGTCTTCAATACAGTTCTTATAAAAAAACATGACACTTAATAAAATCGAAATTTACATTTGCAAAGAAACAGAGCCGACGATTTTTGACCAGACATCTGTTCAGCCAAAAAAAATGTTTTCAAAAAAATTGAAAATTTAAAAAAATAATTAAAGTAAAATTCCGAAAAAACCTTGTAACTCAATTACCTCCACCAATGGTGCTTTAAAAATTGCTTTCAGGGATTTACAAGGAAACTGAACTTTCAAAAAGAGTCTGTGCTACGTGATCTGAGCCGACAAAAAGAAACAGACGGACGATAGTCCGAAAAAGCAGAAAAAAAATCTAATTTGAAGAAAAAAAACAGTACCCCGTCCGGATTCGAACCTCAAGAATTTGCCGCCTTAAGCATGTGTGATACTTCTACGCCAGATGGGCCGAATGGTTGATTGGACTTTCTACAAATCAAAAATGGTTTTCAAGCCAAAAATGGGGGCGTTGATTCTTGCGCAAAGAGAAGTCACACTTGTGTTCCTTCGCATAAACCTCAATCTCAGATTTGGCAGAATAGTTTACGAGAAAAAATTCAAACAAAATGGGTCAAGTTTCGCCCATTAAAAATTTCGAAAGGAGACACTATCGAAAGTTCGAAAGGCACACAGGCAAGCAATCGTTCTTTTCATTGGTACCACTTTTTAAAAACTGGTAGATTAGTTCTGAAAAAATGAAATAGTTTGCAGAAAAATTTGTAAAAAACTTCCAAATTGTCCCAGATAAAAACAATCATGTAGAAAAATGAAGGAATCGAATCCCCTACACTTCCAGAAATCCTGAAAGTTTGCAGGAATTTGAAGATTTGATTTATTGGTGATGATTATATTATGCCAAAACAGCTTTTCTCATGTGTTATCAGGCTCGGAGCAAGAACTTGCTTGAGGCTTAGATTAGGCTACTCTCTTCATAGCCGTTAAAAAGCCAACAGACATATGGAAAAAAAACCAAAGAACGCAAAGAAACAGAAAAACTTTCGCAATTTAAAAGAAAACTTGCCCTTTAAGCTTTTTTAATTTCGAACAAATTCATGATTGGCACCTTGTTGATATAACTAACTCAATTTAAGACAAATAGAGCAGAAGAAAATTGGGAAACCCAAAGATTTAAATTCCACTTTCGAAACTGGAAATCGTTCACGTTTTTCATTACTTTTACATTTAACTCTTCAATAGTGGTAATTTTTTTAACTTTTAACAAAGGAAAAGAACTGAACTTAAAAGAGCATCAAAAGTAAAACAGTAAAACAAAAATAATTTGAGCAAGGAAGACTATAGCCAAACGACACTTGGAAAAAAGTCATAAATGCAAGGAAACAACAAATCTGACTCTTTTTTCAATTTCGAAATTCAAAACTTTTGAATTTCAAAGAAAAAAACTAATGCCTTTAAAGCTTCTCGAATTTTTAGATCAATTTATGGCTGACTCTTTTTTGATAAAACTAACCCAATTGAGAGAAAAAATTGGATCATTAACCAAAATTTCGCTGGGAAATTCGATTTTTAAACTCCACTTTCGAAACTAGAAGTCGGTCATGTTTTACGTGACTTTTCCATTTTTGCTGTTCGATAGTGTTTGCCTTCATTTCAGCAAAAGAACTGCACTGAAATTTTTTTAAAAAATCAAAGTGGAACCGCGAATTTTGAGCTCGAATAAACTTAAGACTCCCTGAAAAAAAGAAAATCATCGCAACCTATAAAAAAATCTGAACAACGTTTATCGACTCTTAAAAACTAATTAATTTTTTCGCGGTTGAAAATCTAAAAACCTAGCTTTCAGCTGAAACTTATGTATTCATATACACACATGCGGACTGTATATAGACAGACGACTTTAAGCATCAAGGGGCAAGTATGCAGAAAAGATGATATATTTGCGAGGGAAGGACCAACATAGAAGCTGTTCAGCTCTTTGCCAAGAACCTCAGTTTAGCACCTGGCTAACTGCATGCAATTTCAAACTTGAAAATCTCTTTGAAAAATTTAGCAAGGTAACTTTATTACACAGCGTAATAAAACTGGTCTGAAAGCAAAAAAAAGCGATCAATATACAATTCTTTATTACGCTGGGAAATGTAAGAAATGAAAACTATTTCATAACTAAAAGTCAGTCAAATTTTTTGCGCGGTTTGCAGTTTCGTCATTAAAGAGCACAATTTGCCTCATCTATTAGCCACTTACTTCGAATTAAATTTAGAAAAAGATCAAAGTCATACGTTAGAAAACATTTTTTTTTGAATAGGAATATCTACTTTCCGATATTTTAAGTCAAATTTAACAGCCTTTAAATATGGCAGGCTTGCTTATTTGAAACAGAAGCGAAGCAGAGCTTCGCACCACTTGCGATACAACACAAACATAAAATAAAATGAAAAAAAATAGATGTTGAACGAAACTAGGTGAATCGAAATTTTCGTATGTTTTGATTTAAAAAATAACAAGGGGCCCAGCAAAAGCCCCATCTTATTGCAATTCAATTCGGAAAAAAACTTGAAAAAAATCATAAATATTTTTTTTCTGCAAAATGCACGCTGCTTAAGCAGAGAAGACTCTCAAAACCGGGTTTCTCGATTGAACACAACCTGAGAAAGTTTCCAAAAAATGTCAAAGTTTTAAAACTTCGACTTGTTTGAAGGCCATCATTTTTTTCTGAAGTAAACTGGGCATGGCCAAATAAAAACTAAGCTTTCAACAACCTATTGTTTCGATCCTACCTATGATATCAGATTTGGCAGGATAGGTAGCGAAAAAAGTCCAAAAAACGGTCAACAAATCAAGATTTTGACTTTGCGAGAATCATAGCTTTTTGTGTCAAAACATTAGGCAAAGCCGCTTTTACAAAAGATATTCACTCAAGCATTTAATTCGATTGAACTCAAAATCTCAGATTTGGAAGTGTAGTTCTCGAGAAAAGTCAAAAAAATTGTTCAAAAAACGGCCAAAAAATCAAAATTTTGACTTTTCCGAGGGCGATAACGTTTGATGTCCGATATATTTGAGTAGCCGCGAAAGCAAATGAGCTTCTCACATCTCGTTCTTCGAATTGAATCCAAAATCTCAGATATGGCAGGGTAGTTTTCGAGAATTTTCAAAATGTTTAAAACAAACGGTCAAAAAAAAACAAAAATTTGATATCTCCGAGGGCGATAGCTTTTTGCGTAAAAAAGTAAAAAAACTTTGTTGAGTGGCCGCTAACGCAGGGGAGCTTCTCACTACCTTTCAACTCCAATAAACCCACAATATCAGATTTGAGAGGTTAATTTTCGAGATAAGTCAAAACGGTCAAAAACCAAAATTTGACTATTCCGAGGGCCATAATTTTACATGTTAAAAAAAAGTGGGCGCTACCGCTTATACAGGGAGCTGTTTAAAAGCAATCTTGTCATTGAAATCAAAAACTCAGATTTGAAATGGACAATTTTCGAGAAAACAAAAAAATCAACAATATGGTTCAAACATTCCCCCACAGACTTTTCGAAGGCTGTAGACAGAGGGTCAGTAAAAAAAGACTTTCTGGTATACATTCACACACGGGAGTAAGCGATCTTTCAATTGATACCCTTTTTTTGAAAATCATAAATTTGGAAATAATTTATTGAAATTGCATATTGAAATGTGCAGAAGGGAATGTAATAATTGTTGCTGTCTTTGAAACGACCTAAAATTAGGTAATTAAGCCGATAAAAAATAGGCCGAAAAAATTTGAGCCGAAGGAGTACTTTTAGCGAAACAAAAAACAAAGGAAATACCATCTAAATAAAAGCTATCATTAAAGAAAAATGCGCGCAGCAAAAAAAAACGATTCCAAGATGTGACAACTAAGCCGACAACAGATAGCAGACAAATAATTGGCCGAAAACTTTAATTGAAACTGAAAATTTTCCGTTTGAAAAAAAAAACAGGTCCTGGTCAGATTCGAACCCCAGACCTTTGCCGCCCAGGCACATAGGTTACCTCCAGCCTAAGTTGGCGGGAACGCATAGAAGTTGTATTTTTTATGAACCAAGATACAAGTGATTCAAGTGAGTCTGTTAGATAATTTATTAACCCAAAAAAAGTCTATATTTCGGTTTGATAGCGCTTGCGTAAACAATTCTGAAAACAAATCTCAATTATTTAAACTAACAATTTATAAACATTAATCAGCACACAAATTTTTATTGGTGCACATCAACTATCCAATCTTCGTTCACAATTGAGACGCCTCTCATGTAGGTTTTAGTGGTCTGTACCAGCTCATTGTAAATCACAGCCGACGGGAGCTTCTTATGCAAAACAGATGAGGGGTGGATATCCACTTGCACGTGGCCAGCACTGTTGTAGTACTTCTTCTCGCCTCCCAGGAGCGCGAGGCGTTGTCTGAAGGCTTTGTAGAGACACAGTCTGACTTTCTCGAAGCCAGATCCACTACTCGTTAGTTTCCAACCCAAAGATAGACAAATCTAAACAAAATAGATTAAATACAAAATTAAAAGCAGTTTCAAATTAATCAGATAATTCGTCACTTGACATGTTTTCATTTATATCTTCATCAGCCGGTATTATTGATTCCTTTCATTGTGCTCATTCTTTTAGAAAACAAACCGATGTTAGTTAGGTCATATTTTTTTGTACAATTTTCGTTTTCAATACATACTTCTACAACCCGTAATTTACGATTCTTGGGTCTTTTCGGCTAATACCTCGTAAGTCATAAAAAAAGGAAAATTATCATTTTTTACTCTCGGCTGAAATCCAAAAAGACTAAAACCCCATACATGCTCGTCTGACATCCCGTGCGTTAAGTCAATTTAGAACTGCGCATCAAATGCAATGTCAAAAACCCCAATTTAAAAAACGCTTGGCACAAATCGATGTTAAATTCAGTAGCTGTCAGCAAACGCAACGTTTCCCAATTAGCGCGTTAAAAAACTAAAAACGAAACAAGCGATTGACTACAAGTGAGTGGAAATCCCTTTGTAAAATATTGATTTCAAATACCTCCCCCCCCCTAAATCCGCCCCTGCCCTTGCTTATAGCAAGGGTAATCCTCATTAATAGGGTAAGCAGAACGGAAAAACAGAATGGAAGCTAAACCGTAAAAATGAAAGACCTAAATACATACTCAGCGAAAACACAAGATCCTGTCATGACTCGAACCCCAGATCTTAGGAATCTCAGGCACACATTTACCACTACATTAAGTCCACAGATGCACGAAATTAATAGATGTTAATCAAGGTCAATTTCTTTTACATTTTGAAAAAAAAATTGTAAATGGAGAAATTCTGGTTCCTGCTGACACTACACTTGCTCTCGCTGAGGCAATTAATTAAATGATATGTTGGTATTTTAACTCAAACAAACCTACCTTTGCGAGCTGTGCTCTAATCAGCATTGCTTGTTTGATACTCTTCGGGTTCAAAAAATTCTCCCAGCACACTTTTTGAAGACTCATTTTCTTTTCGTTTTGATTCACATATCTGAACATCAGCAGCAGACCAATCAAATCACCACTGCCATGCTTGAATTTAGACCAACATTTAACCGCTTCAGTCGCCTCGCCTTCTTCAGATTCCAAATTAAACCTTGAATGAACAGCCTGTTGAGCCGCTCTTCTATTGAACAAATTCTCAACCGAAAGCATGCTCACAATCGATAACATATCGTCCAAACATCCGTCTTCGTTACCAAACACTAACGTCAAAGCGTATTCAGGTCTCAGTGGGAACTTGCTGATAACTTTTCCTAACTTAGTCAATTGGAATCCAATGTCGCTTCCGATTTTACCATCGCTCGTTTTCTCACAAATCGCCTCCAACTCAACTAGCAATTTCAGAGCCGCTTTCACAGAATCATTTGGCGGTCTTTCAATGAAGTCAAACTCAAGAACATTGGATATTCCCAATGAAATCATCAACAAAACTACACTTTCAAGGTTCGATTTCAGTATTTCAGCCTCTGTCGTTTCTTTGAACTCCTTGTCAAATTTCTCTTTAGAAAACAAATAATAACACTCTCCAGGGCCAAGTCGTCCGGCTCTGCCTGAACGTTGTTTTGCCTGTGCTTTTGACTCGTTATTCACCTGAAGCAAATATATCCATTTAAATGAAAAACCAAAACAAAAATGCATTTATTTCCATTGCATGTACATGTAAGAGTAATAAATCTATCCTGAAAATATAAAAATTGCTTATCAAATAAACAAAAATTCCACTACATTATTAATATTTTAATGCTCCAACTAAAAACCACATTAAAGCTACTTTTCATGTCAAAGTGCAGCGAAATAAAAAAAATAGCACCTGCAAGCCGACTTGACTTATCTGGATACAATTTAAATTAGTTTTCATTTCAATTAATGAATTTTTTTATTTAACTACACTGACCTGAAGATATTCCACTCCTGTTTTTGGATTAAAACACTTCTGTTTAACCTTTCCACTGTCAACCACATACTTGATATTGGGAATAGTCACAGATGTTTCCGCAATATTTGTACTTAAGACCACTCTTCTCAAGCCCTTGTCCAGCTCTCGTTTGTCTTTTTGTCTGAATGCCAACATTTGAGCTTCTGGAGACAGGGCCGAATATAGAGGCACGGCTTGCAGACCATTGCAGTTCAACTCGTTCTGAAGGCTCTAAATAGTAAACCCATTTACATTTTTAGGACGATTTATCCTTAAGGGAAAGAATCAATTATGAGCTGCTCAGTTCTTTCCGAAGAGCCGCTACTATGAAGTGCTTAAGAATTCCACTCCTGATGATATTTTGAATATACACGAGGCCTGGCCGGAGCTGCTTCAAACTCTCAATGTTGTTCTCAGTCATCAAAAAGTCATAACAAGCTTGATGCTGTGCAATGTCAAGGGAATCCTAGTGAGACATCAGACATTCAGGTATTACGCACATCTTAACATCTTTCGGCGCAGAGGCACATGAGCAAACCTGAGTCCAAAGAAGAGTTGACACAGCTGCACCTGCTTGCGGGCGTTGATCTCGGGGTTGTGTCTATTATTCTGCGTTCAATGAATAATCTTTGGCGAGTGGCTAAAAAGTTGAGGTCTAAGAAACAGAAAGAAGGGAACAACACATGGAACAAGAAGAGGAAACAGCTAGTGTCACACACAGTGCGTGTTTTTGTGGCAAGAGCCTTTGATTTCTCCAGAGGGACTCGGCTGCTCGGAAGTTTCCTTGACTATTTATATGTTGCGACTGTTTTTCGTTCGCCTTTCTTTTTCATTAGTGTCTCCAGAGGTTCCCGGTTCCTCGGAGGATTCCCAGTGACTCGGTTTTTTCAGTCGCGGCGCCTATTCTGAAAAAAAATTGACTCCTGGAAATACCTGCAACGATACGGCGAGCTTAAGAAAATGCGATGATACCCGTGGACGCGTCACCTTACTGAGAAAAGAGGTTGAGGCGGCCCATCAACAATCGCTGGAGGTTAAGGAAGCTCTGGCGGCAACTAGCGAAAAACTGAAGAAATGCCTACCTGCTTCTTCAGGGCACAACCAACTCGTCTGTATGGCTTAACGAAATTGTACAAGAATAGCAAAATTCTTAGACCGGTGCTATCTCTCCCTGGTAGCTGTTATAACAAAATCAACAAGTGGCTTGCCAACCTATTCTCGAACTTTAAAAGAGCAAAAATCAAGACTTCGATTGCCATGAAAACACGATTTGCACAAGTACAGCTTGATTACTCCGAGGAAGTCTTCACTCTTGATGTCAAAAGCTTATACACAAATGTCCCGGTCAATGACGCGATCAGAGTAGCCATCATTGCCATCTAAACGTCCGACAGTTCGCCTGATTTTGACCGCCATATTCAACCGTGATTCGTTAGAGCTAGCTGTTACCAATGTCCATTTCATTTGCGGTTACAAATGGTACGTACATAAAGATGGCGTTGCAGCGGCCACAGAGATGGCAGTAACACTGGCCCACTTGATGAACCAGTTTGAAGACTGCATCGCCTCCGATGATACTGAAGCTGAATTGAGAGGCAACTGCAATGCCAGCTCCGTTTGCCTAGTATGCGATAAGAATGTTACTCGCAGAGGCTACTTGATTCGCTGCATTTGTTTTCAGTACTGGCTCCACAGGAGGTGTACTGGCATTCCCCTAGAGGACATCCGCACAATGAAAAACTCCGATTGGATGTATCTTTCCCCTTTGATTCCACAGACGAACGCGACGACACGCGCTAAAATCTTGGATCGTTAGGTGGACGCTATTTTCAGGACAGCTGCTAGAGACAAAATTGATTGGAAATTTTGCAATATGTTACCTCCCTGCATCCGAATCTGGATTTCACCAATAAACATCTCGGAGATGGTGGTATCCCCTTCTTTGACATGTACGTGAAATGCGCCGGCTTTCACATTGAGACATCTTGGTACCAGAAACCCACTGACAGGAGTTTTGATACTCTCCTTCAGCCTTGGCGCCGACGACATACAAGCGAAACATCACAAAATGGTGCATCTACCGGTTTTCCAACAATCTCTAGCTGGGCCCAGTTCGATGCGGCCGTTAGGCAAGCTGAAAGTATATGGAAACTAATCAAAATCCGCCGCAGTTCTTTGATCCTATCATCTTAAGCACACTGACAAGATTTATGGTGATGAAAAATTGACTCGCCCAGGAGAGAAGCACCAGAAAAAAGTATGATCTTAATCACCCTCCACAATCGCGGCCCGCGCAGTGGCACTTTCAAACGCAGGCTTTGAAGTGCGGTTCAAGTTCCCGTCATTTTTACCACTCGTTAACTGAAGACAGATCTTCGACGACTGAAATCCAAAACTCAGAGTTACCTATGTAGACACGTGGTTTACCAAATCAATTTTCCTGGTTGTGAAGCCAGCTACGTTGTGCAAACAACTCGACACATGAAAAACCGCATGCATGAGCACTCTCGTATCTCTTCTCCCGTTGGTGCAACAGCGGTAAAATATGAGCAACGATTATTGACAAACCAAGTGACACGGCACGGTCAAATACTAAGACTCGAGCCTTAGATATCACCAATAGAAAGGAGGAGAACTTCTCACGCAAGCTCAATCTGGATCAATAATTTCATTGCCTCATTTTGTTTGATGAAATAATAACTTGTTATTCGTGTGTTATTTTTATGGCTGTATTTTATTTGTCTTTTCATGTAATTTCTAATGTCTAATTGTTCTCCTAGAAACATAAAATTGTACGCTCACACATTTGTTTTTAGAGTGATTACGATCTGTATTGACCGAAAGCGTTTTCAATGAAGATTCCACATTGATCGTTTTCCCTGAGCATCAACATAGTCATACTTCTATATTGATCCTTGCATCCGATTTTCAAAACTTTGTCCTCGTAAAAACCATCGGAGATTTGTCGAAAGCTAACTCTATCGACAGGGTTCGGAAAAAAAAACGTTTTTCTATTGAAAAAATCAATTAAACAGCGTTTTTTTTTTAATTTAAAAAACGTGTTTTATTGTTTCTTTACAGTTTGTTCAGTTAGAGAAACAAAAACTTGCCACGTGTTTGAGTTTCCATTTGGTTTCTTAACTTTTCATACGTGAGAAATAATGAATAACACACGTATACGTTATATCATTCAATCAAACAACCGAATCTAACCAAAAATTGTAGTGCAAGTGGAAAGGGAAGGCGGCTCATACCCTTATCGTAACGGTTCGACTCCCTGACAATGCTGGTTTTTTACGATGAAAATTTTAAAATGAAAAACACCGCTTTTTATTTTCTGTTTTGAAACGTGTTTTAAAACCTCCCCAACCCTGTCTATCGAAGCAATCATCAATGCACTGAAAAATCAAATTTCAAATTAGAAAATCAAGGATCAGCCAACATCCGAATATTTTTGCTGCGACAGAATATTTCGAAACCACCATTGCATTACCGAATAACTTCCAAGGAGTTTTCGGTTTGGGCGACTTTTTGAGATCTATTTCCAGAATGCAAGGACCACTTTGTTTTTGTTCCGACATCGACGACACTTTTGACAGCTTGCTATACGAAACAAGCGACAAGGAAAACTGGAAGACATAAATAGATGGGGATCCTATTAGAGTGCTGTCACTCAGTTCATTCAAAAGTACTCAACGCAACTGGTCATGTTGAAAAACTGCAGCAGCAGTTATTTCGAGACAGTGTTTGATGAAAAGTCAAAATTTAGCCATTGAGTTTGAGACGGATTGGCTGTATTTGGGGAAAGACAAACAAAAACAGCAATCGAAATCGGGCTATCATGAGAAAAGTAGAGACTTCGATTCGAAACAAGTTCACCAGACATTGACACAATTGTTGCCCACTTTCAACCTTATGTTACACTCATTTAGCATTAGTTTTTGACGAAAAGCTTGGCGGATCAGAGTCCACGAGTATACTTAGATATAATTTTCGCAGTGTGAGTTACCTTCCCAAATGTATTGTAAGAAAATTTTGAAGAGTTTAAAAAGAGCTCAACTGTGACGAGAAACCCAATGAAACGCGAAATCTCATAACTGAATGATGAAGTTTTAGGATGCCTGGAGTTTAAAATTGAAGCAGATTTTAGAACGGTTTCATCATACAACCAGCAATTTAAACTGAATAACAAACATACGCCAATAGAACTACGTTACATGCCCTGATTAAGAACTTCATACTATTTTTTGGTTATATTTCTAGGCTTGATGGTGTTACCTTACCCTCAAGCAATAAGCACGGATTATGATGGGTCTTGAACATCCGACAATTCGATTGAGAAGCGGAGACGCTACCACTTCAACGCCGTTCCCCTAACTTCGCCACATTTAGCCAAAATTTCAAATCTTCGGCTAACAACTTTAACTTATATGGGTTATAACAACAATATTACAAAATGAAAACAAAAGATTGTAGACACTAATCTAGAAATCTGTTTTTTTTCTGATAACTCCAATGAAGTAATAATATGCACTCCTTAGACTTAAGAAAACAAATAGTTAGAAGATATATAAGAAGAGAGAGAGAGAGAGAGAGAGAGAGGGGACACTTTATTGTTTCAATATACTTATGCAGTTGCAGAACTGATTGTATAAGAATCTAGTGTACAATATTACGCAATGGTTATATAACATAACAAGAAAAAACATAAATTACTACGAGGTTGAATCAAATATTTGATTTAACAAAATAAATGTCCTTGGATACGGAAAGACTCTCCTTATTGGGTAACAGGGTGTCATCTTTTCCTATGATGAAATTTTTAATCAGAGTTTTTGTCAATGTGTACGGCAGTTTTCGATTTAACAAGGTTCGGATTATTGTGTTAAGGTTCCTGATTGATGTAAATAAGAAAGACTTACGAAGGAAATCAGTTTTACATGTTAAAGGGAACAGTAATGTTCCAGTTCGATGGTTATAGCGGAATTCAGAATTTGGGAATCTTATATGCGTGAAAGCTGGGGCATCGTTTCGGCATAACCTGTGAAGGTAGTGTGCTGATCGGTACTCGATAATATTCCGAGCAGTAGGAATTTTGTGCTGTTTCCTTAGAAGTGTAACGGAATCTCGTTTGCTTATATTCATTATTATCCTGATTCCCCATTTTATTTGTTTTTCGAGTTTCTCAATATTATCTTGCGTACATCCGTTTAAGAGCATGCATGGATAGT